TAGTTTTGTCAAATATAGTTGATCAACAATGTAATATTGAATCGAACTTTTTAAACACGACAACTTTCAGCAATATATACACACATATATATATATATATATTGAAGTTACAAAGTTGAAAATGTGTTAAGTGTAAAATAATCAGATAACAAGTTTTGTAAGTAGCATCATCCTTGTTTTAGAGTTTCTTAACTCTCTTTCATGACGTTGAAAAGTTTATATTTATTGTAAATCCGAAGTGAAGAAACAAGAATAAAAGTTGTAATAACTCAGTAAATGACAAATGGTCTTCTCAATGAAAAGTTTCCAACGGATAAACATGGCGATGTTAAAACTTTATTGTAAACTATATGACAATCAGTGAATAAACCGGAATTCTCCACTGACCAACAAACAATTGATTATAAACGTTACAAACTTGTTTTATATTTACCAACAATTCTCTTTATATTTTCAATTTCATTCCAATTCTTAAATTGTAATTAATTTATATTATTTATTTAATTATTTATTTAATTATTTATTTTATTATTTTATCATTTCTCGAATTAGAATTTATTATGTTAAAAAGTTTTTCACGAAAACTACTTTTTTCATTTTTAGCAAGTAGAAGCTTGTGAATATTTTGTTAAAAATTTTTTTTAGTCTACACTTTTTTTCATATGTCACAGATGGGGTTACTTTTACTTTTTTTTTTTTTGTTTTTGCTTTTTTCTGTTATTTTACGAGTAAAATTAAATGCAAATATGAAATGAAAGAAGAGATGTTGAATTAATATTACAAATAAAAAGAGTGAAACGTCTACAAATAAAAAAAAGTATGAGCACCTGACGCCAGATATGAAGAAATCATTTTTATTTTTATCAATATGACGACCATCAAATCGTCTGAAAAAAGTTGAAGCATCTGTTTAAAAAATTCTTTCATATACATTTTTTTTTTTACAAAATATTCAATTTTTTTTTATTTTCAATTTTAATTTGCTTTTTTTAAACGAGAAATATTGAATATTTTAATTTAAAAAGAAATTTTAATTAAAAAAAAAATTTTTAATACAAAAAAATAATTTTTTTTTGTTTATTTTAAAATAATTTAACATATGTGAAAAGAAGGGAAAAAAAATAATGAAAAGATTTCTAAGTATTCTATATATTATTTATATGGGAATCGTGAGAGTGATCGATTTACAGTGTGAGTATATTGCTGTTCATTATTCTCCATTCTGTAAGCACACACCCGTCACTCAAGCTTAAGCCTTTCATGTTTCGTGTTGTCTTAAGGTTCTCTGATTAAGTAGACACAACTTGTCCACCATCATCTTTGATTACAGTGGCCCGCACCCCTATTACAAGACGTAAGCCATGTTGAGTAATTAATTAAAAGTTAGTAGGAAAATTAATCAAACTATAATTTCTCGATGAATTACTATATTCATCCATGTGATAATTGAATTTATTTTCTTCCAATTTTTCTAATTATTAACAGTTGGGGTCCATTAAAAAAAAAACAAATTCATGTTTATTCAGATCAAATGATTATTTTTCACGTGATTTATAAATTATACTTTTTTTCTTTTTTTTAATAATTTAATATCGTTTTTATAAATTTATTGAACCATTAAATTGCTTTTTGCGTGTTTTAAAAATATATATTTAAGATAATTAGAAATATTAATATTATTAATATAACCCGTGTGGAAAAAGCCACGATCTTGCCCTCAAGAGTTCGGGGCCCCCGGCGGGGGCCCATGAGGGCTGATCCATATGGCGAATCCATGAGGGGCACCATAGGGGCCCCGCATGGATCGCCCTCATGATCGATTAGCAAAATTTTCTAAGTCCAAAAATCAAATATTTTTTTATCACCAAAAAATTAATGTTTATAATGATTCACAACAATGAAAAACGCGTTTTTAATTAAAATATATTTTCACTTTTTTTGAAAATAACACTCACACTTATGGCGAATCCATGAGGGGCACCGTAGGGGCCCCGCATGGATCGCCCTCATGATCGATTAGCAAAATTTTCTAAGTCCAAAAATCAAATATTTTTTTATCACCAAAAAATTAATGTTTATAATGATTCACAACAATGAAAAACGCGTTTTTAATTAAAATATATTTTCACTTTTTTTGAAAATAACACTCACACTTATGGCGAATCCATGAGGGGCACCGTAGGGGCCCCGCATGGATCGCCCTCATGATCGATTAGCAAAATTTTCTAAGTCCAAAAATCAAATATTTTTTTATCACCAAAAAATTAATGTTTATAATGATTCAGAACCACGAAAAACGCGTTTTTAATAAAAATATATTTACACTTTTTTGAAAATAACACTCACACTTATGGCAAAATAGATGAGGGCCACCGTAGGGGCCCGCATGGATCGCCCTCATGATCGATTAGCAAAATTTTCTAAGTCCAAAAATCAAATATTTTTTTATCAACAAAAAATGAATGTTTCCAATGATTTAAAACAACGAAAAACGCGTTTTTAATAAAAATATATTTACACTTTTTTGAAAATTCGCCTGAGATGATTCATGATAATAATCATAAAGCATATAATTAATTATATTTTATAAATTGCATTTGATTGGAAAATATAATTTAATATCTTAACTTTAACTAAATGATGTTAAGCACTTTTCTTTGTTAGGTATTTTTGAAGTTTAAATAGCATCAAGAAGTTAGCATTCGTTTTGAAGTAGCGTACGTAGCGTAGTTGGTAAAGCGTTAGACTCATAGTCCGTAGGTCGTAGGTTCGATTCCCCCCATGCGTTAGATTTATTTATTTCTCAGGTTTGCGTTTAATCATTAATTCTATGTATGAATTAATTGAAAAATGAAAATATCCGTTAATAGTATGCATAAATTAAATATTTTTTAATTTTTTAATTAATTAATTTATTATTACTTTTAATTATATCCGACAGTTAATTAATTAGAACGTTAATTAATAAATTCAATTTGAGTAAGAATTTAATTTAAAATTGAATAATTATTAAATAAATATGTTATTTATTCATAACTTAAGCTTATTTATTATTAATTAACTTTTATTATTAATATTATTGATTAAAAAACATTATGGCAAACTTGAGGGCAAGATGAGGGCAAACGTGAGGGCCCATAAGGGCGCCCGTAGGGGCACCCTCATGGATCGCCCATGCGGGCGCCCTCATCGATGAGCATGTCGTTTCCATGAGGGGCCCCTATGGATCATCCATATGCGGCCCTCATGGCATGAGGGCGATCCATAAGGGCCCCCGCTGGGGGCCCACATCACTTTTCCACACGGGAATAAATAAATTTTAATAATATGAATATTTTTAAAAAAAAATATTCAGTTCGGTTTTTTTTTTTTTATTTTTCTTCATGTTTCCAATAAATTTATACACTTTCGACAATTTTCTTGTTTACTTATAGGAAAAATTCAAGGTAAACTCGAAGTTTTCAGTGAAGAACTTTAAATAGTTAAAAATCGAGACTTTCTTCGGTAAACAATTGAAAATTTTTCAATAAATAGATATGTAGAATTTTAACAATAGTAACAAAAAAAAATATGCTGTATATTTAGTAAATATAATAATTTTGAGGAAAATAGAATTAATTTCTAAAAAAAAAAGTAATGTTGAAAAAATATCTGTTTACTGTTTTTTTTTATAAAAAGTTACCTATTTTTTTCAAGAAAAAGGAAAAAATATCTTTGTATTCTCTAAATTTGAATTAATGAGAATTTGTTCATTAATTTAAATAAGTGAAAATTTCTACTAATTTTTAGTCACTTTTCACTAAAACTTTGGTAAAAAAATATTACTAAAAAAGTAGTACTAAAAAAAGTATTACTAAAAAAATATTACTAAATCAAATAAAATAAATACCTACTAAAAATTAGTGATAATTTTTCTTTGACTTGTTGTGTTTCATTCGAAATAAAATTTTCTTTAAATTAAAAAAAAAAGATTTTTGATTGGAAAAAAATTTCTTTCATTTTAAATAAATTTTTTCAATGAAAAAAATTTGTGCTTTAAAACAAAGAAATTTTTGCATTAATATATATGGGTCAAAGAAATAATTTAAATTTTTTGAAACAAATTAGATTTAATTTAATATCCCTAGGCGAAATTTGAATCCTCTTTAGCTCCCCTTAGAATCTAAATAGACCCTCTTTTGGATCTTGTAGACCCTACTTTACTCCTTGTGAAGTAGGCCTTAAATTTCGCCTCGGGATTACTCAATTATCAGTAGTAAAAACCGTTTCAAATAGATAAAAACAAATTATTATTTTACTATCTGTAATATTTTTGAAAAATTCAGATTTACCATCTAACATATAAGATAAAAAAAAAGTTATTTTTAGAAATGAATAGATTTAAATATATATATATATATATATATAGATAAAATAATAGTGTGATAATATTTTTAAAATGATAAGTATCATATTTGAGGGATAGTAAAAAATTTTTTTCTTTTTTTACTGTACCAGAATTTAAAGTACGGCACATTCACTTTTATACTGACAATTTCATATGAATAAGTACTGAATAAAAAAAAAATGATATGAGATTCTTCTATATGAAATTGAAAACGTCATTTTTATGGAGAAGTTTGTCTTTTTTCCAGTCGTCACTCTTGAATTGATGAGAGGTTGATTGATCTATAAAACCTCAGATATATATATTAAATAGACATAAAAAAAAATAATCTTTCTTATTGTCGATCAACGAATTTTAATTATTTTTATTGATCCAAGTTTTTATATAGATTTGTGAATTAATCGAATTTCAATTTAAAATTTCTTTAAAAAAAAAAATAAATTTTTCAACTAAATCCATTTATTTTTTTTTCATCTCATTTTGTAAATGATAAATGAATTTACTTAGTAAAATTTTTGAATTGCCTTTTTTGTCGAAGGATTTTTTAATCAGAAAATGGAACATGCTCTCGTTGTCACAATCTGATAATGATACATTGTGTCTTTTTTTTCAGGACATATCGGAGTACAAATGCGAGAGTGGAAAATCTCCCCTGTATGTTCCACATAAGCCAGTGACTGGTGTTATTGGAGCTTCTTTTAGTGGGGTTTCCATTATGGTCGCCAATATTCTCAGACTGTTCAAGGTAAATAAAATGAAAATTATTTTTTTTTTCTTATTATGATGATATAAAATCAATATAATTAAAATTTAATTAAAAAAAATTTTGCGCGATTATTATTTAATTTTATTAAAATTTATTATAATTAAATGCAAAAATTTCGATTTTGAAAAAAAAAATGTTTGTGTAAAATATTGATTTTATATGTGTCATTCAAGTGGAATATATATCTTAAAACGAAGAGTCGAATGATCTTTGAAGCGTATTGAATCTATTCCGATATACGATGTGAGTTCGTGGACCCGGAAGTGTGGATAGACGAAGCGTTAACATCCGCCCAACATCTGGAATCTGGCCAAATATGTCAGTTTGCAAATTTCAATTCACAATAATTTGTTGAATTGTTTATTTCCTTCTTCTTTTTTACTATCATCTCTTTAAAAAAAGAAAACCTCTTTTTCCATTTTTCCATTAATTTTTTTTTCATTTTATTAAATTTTATTTTACATAAAAAAAATGCATAAAAAATAGAAGATGCGCGGCATTTTTAATTGTAAAAAAATAAAAAAAAAATTGTTTAAAAAATTTAAAATTGATAAATATTCTCTTTTTTAATTAAATTTTTATTCTCTTTTTTTTAAAATAAAATTTCGTTTGAAATCAAAGTTGATAGATTTTAACGAACCATTTTTCGATATAGAACAACAGATGGAGTTCAAATTGAAATTCTACGGTAAAGACATTCTGATTACGTAATTTTCTTTTGTTGTTTTACAATAAAGGGCGTGAATCAAATTTTCCAAATGGAAAAAAATATATTTTTATTTTACACAAAAAAATACTGTGAATATTAAATTGCATTCCAGTTTGTTTTAAATAATTATTATTAAATTATATATAGTGAAGAAAAAAGAAGAAAAAGAGTGTTTTTATTCCAAGCAGACAGGAATTTAATTACTGTTAATTGAATTCTCTTAATATAGACAATTAAAATTCCAATTTTATTTAATTAAATTTCATTTATTTTTTTTAAATATTGATTTTTGTTTGTGCATTAATTTTTTTTATATATATATGAATATATATATTTATGTCTATTCTATTTCTCGTTTGATGCTCAATTATTCGTTTTAACTCCATTAGCTTAAAATTATACTCGAGAGGTACTTTAACGAAACTCGAGAGATCTGTTGACAAATTAAGCGCAACATTCAGTCAACATTCAAGATATATATTCTGCTCATGTTACAAAACAAGTTTCAAAGTGTGTTCTCTAAAATTAGTGATGCTGTTTACGTATTTCATTCGACCTGAAACGTTTTTGTCATTCGAATTCGAGGAATCTTTTTTTTTTTTTATTTTTTACATCCAAATATTAAATTTCAATTTTTTGTTATTTATTTTCAGATTAAAAAAAATTTTTTTTTTGAAATATTGATTTTTTTTACCATACACTGAAAAAAATATTTGATTCAAATAATCAGTTACTTGTCAATATTTTCTTAAACCAAGGTCGAATTAAATTTTATTTATTTCAAATACAAAAATTATTGATTCAAATAAAATTTATTTAATTTAAATAAAAATTATTTGGTTCAAGTAAATATTTATTTAATTTAAATTAAAAATTATTTGCTCCAAGTAAATATTTATTTGATAATTATCAAATTACTATAATATAATCAGGAATATATTTGAATAAAATAAATTTTCTTTTTTATTGTTGAATTGCGATTAAAATTTGCTGGTATAAAAAAATTACTAGTTTTATCGAGGTGAATCAGTGTAATATAATAAAAGAAGAAGAAAAAAAAAAAAAAAACAAGTAGTGAAGTGTATATGAAACAAAAAGCAACATCACGATTTCGATAGTTGGTAGTATTACTCGGATTCCAGTTGACGTGAAACTTTTCCAACGATAATAAAAACAGAATGAACGAAATGGAACACGAAAGTGCAATAAGCGATCTGCCAGTAAAGTAAACGAGAGGCAAACTCGCTGAAAATTATCCCCATAGAAAAAAAATAGAGTAGAGAACTCGACTTGGAAAAATACATATATATAAATACGAGACAGGAAGTTTAAACAGTATATAGGAAATTCTTTACTTAACTTTTGAGAATCGAAAGAAATTTTTGTAATAACAATGACTATTATTCAATCTTTATTTTTCTTAAGAAGACTATTTAAAAAAAACTAAATTCCTAAAAAAATTAAACTATATCTAAAAACGGTTTTATGAAGGAAAAAAAGTAATTTTAATTTTACTATCAGTAGTAAAAGTGTATTTTGGTCGGACATTTCAAATTCTTGTAATCAGTGCGTAAGTAGTAATAGCGAACAATAGTCAGACTAACTCCATTTATTTTACTTTTCGTATTAGTAGTAAAAGTTTGTTTCAGTCAGTCAAAATAATTTAAATCACAAGGTTTCAAAATTACAATTAAATAAACAAAACGATTTTAATTTTTCTAATACAAGTATCAGTAGAAAAGTCAGTTTTGGTCAGACAGAACACTTATAATTGTAATTATAATCAGTAGTATGTAGGTCAGACAAAGTAGATTAATTTTTCATTAATTGTACATAGTAAAAAAAATTATTTTCTTCAAATAATCAGTTACTTGGCTATTATAAAATCAATTTTAGGTTATGTTTAGTCATAGTTTTACCTTGATTCGTTCATTTACTAATTATGTAAAATCAAAATCATTTTTTTTTTTTATTGAATATTTTAAATCTTATGAAACTTTTGTAATATAAGTTAATCATGATTTCGTAGTATCACTCTGAAAACCATAAACATAACCTAAAAATTGTTAGAAGCTAAGGTCCCTTTTACCTTAAAGCATCACAAATAAATTCTATTTTCAATAAAGTAGTAAAAAATAGTTTATCAGACAATATTATTTTTAAAAAAATTAATTATTTAAATAATTATTAAAAGAAACTTTTAGTCAGACTTAGAAAAAATGTAAATTTTTTTTTTGTCAGTTGTCAGAAAAGAATTTCGTTACAAAACTGAAAAAAATGGATAATTTTAGTAATAGAAAATTTTTAATTTAAAAAATGAGAAAATTCTCTCTCCTGTTTATAAAACAATGAAATTTTTCTCTTCCTTAATATAAAAGCGCGTAAGGGAATAAAAGACACTTGAGTAGGTATTGAGGAAATATTTAAAGGTACGTTCGGAGAAAATGTGTTTTAAGAGAAAAAAAAAGGAATAACATTTCTCGTAAGGAAGTCGAAACCTTTTCTTTCTTTTCCTTTTTCTTGAGTACTATGGCGCACTTAGTTGATGTAGCTTATTGTTAGAGAGTAGGGGTAAGAGAGAAAAGAGTGAAAGAGAGAAAGAGAGACTCAAGGAAATGAGATTAAAAGAATAGTGACAACTTAGCACAAGGACATACTGGTCTATTTCATGATAAGAATATTAAATTTTTTTTCTTCTATTTTATCCTACCCTATTTTCTCTTTTAATATAACGTGATTATATTATTTCCTTTTTGGTATATAAAAGCGTTAAGGAAAACACTTTTTTTTTAAAGAAAAAATCTCTCTTCTTTTATATAAAGATCAATTATATAATGTTTTTTTCAAAATTTTGTTTTCTCTCTCTTTATTTGTTATAATAAGTGAAGAAGAAAATTTCCTATTTGATTTATTTTTCCTTTAATTTTTATCGAGAGTTTTCACACTTTAGTTTTAACATCTCGACACCTATATCTTTTACGATTGATTCTTTCATTTATTGTTAAATTTCATCTTCACAGTAACCTCTCTTACTCTTTCAATTCCCTAATCAAATTACATCTTTGACTCACTTGGGAAATACTGTTTTTCTTCTGTCGATATAATATAGAAAAGAGAAATATACGTGACTACTTGTTTCAAATTTAAAAACGAGATTTTCATTTTATTATTTTCATTTTAATTTTTTTTTTGTTTTTTTTTTTTTTTTTTTTGTTATGTTCCTCTTGATAGAAATTCGAAATTAAAAATGAGAAATTGAGTAAAAAATTTTTATTGTTAGAGTAAAGAAAACAATTTTTTTTTAAGTTTTTAATTGACAAAAGTCATAACAAAAATAAGAAGACTAAGTTTCACGGAAATCGTAATGTAGTTTTACGAATTCCGCGATTTAATTTTGTGTAATTCGTGATCTAATTACGCGTGTTTCACATATTCAGCGACTTAGTTTCACTAAAACCGTGATATAATTTCGCGGAATTTGCCATTTAATTTCGCAAATTTCTTAACCAAGTTTCGCGGAATCCGTGATATAATTACTTGAATTCCCCACAATATTTTTGCAAAAAACTAGATCTAATTTCGCGGATTCAACAATCTCGTTTCCGAATATACGTGACCTAATTTCGCAAAAACCGTGATCTAATTTTTTGGAATCCGCAAACTAGTTTCGCAGAATCCGTGATCTAATTACGTGAATTCAGCGAAATAATTTCACAGAAATTGGGATCTAATTCGCTGATTCCACGATCTAGTTTCGGAAAATCATTGATCTAGTTTCGCCGAAACCATGATTTAATTTATTGGCATCCGCGATCTAGTTTCATAGGATTCGTGATCTAATTACGCTAATTCCGTGACCTAGTTTTGGGAAATCTGTGATCTAATTTCACGTATTCCTCGATTTAGTTTCGGAATATCCGTGACCTAATTTAGCGAAAACCGTAATCTAATTTTTTTGGAATCCGCAATCTAGTTTTAGCAGAATCCGTGATCTAATTACACGAATTCAGAAATATAGTTTCGCGGATCCCAAGATCTAGTTTCGGGAAATCATTGACCTAGTTTCAACCAAAACTGTGATCTAATTTTTTGGAATCCGTGATCTAGTTTCGTAGGATTCGTTATCTAATTACGCGAATTCCGCAACATAATTTCGCAGAAATCGTGATCTAATTAAGCTACACCAGTGACCTAGTTTTGGGAAATCTGTGATCTAATTTCACGTATTCCTCGATTTAGTTTCGGAATATCCGTGACCTAATTTCGCGAA